TATGATCTGAAAAAAATACCATATAAGAAGAGTAATTGTAAGGATTAAACTTGTCTTACATAGACATTATTCAGCGTGACATCTCTTTCCCTTAATCAAGATCTATTCGATTCCTTTCGACAAAATAAATAAACAAGATAGTTAGGATCGCTTTTGAAGCATAACACATTAGATTTTGATAAATTTTATCTTTTCAACAAAAATATCAAGATTGATTTAATGTTTCTCAAAGAGGCAAAAGTTATAGAAACAGAGATGAGAGACTCAACGCCTTTGAGCATAACTTTTCAGATTTTCAATTCTTTTTCAACCAATTTTTAGATGCTTCTGTAAATTAATATGAGTATCGAGTTGTTTTTTTACACACATATCACCACTTCAAATAATGAAAACAACTGTTCAGGAATTGATGCCTTAGACGAAGTAAAATATCTAAATACATTATTGTTTTTTGCACCTCTATGTAATTGAATAACCAACTTTCATGATCAGTTTTGACTCTGTGCCACTGTAATGATACTAACTGGTAGGGAAAAATCCAACATATACTCAGAAAAAATAATTTCCACTATATGTTGCAATCTACAATGTCTGAAAGAAACAAGTTCCAGGTCCATAATCTATCCCATCATAATAATGAATTTTTTCATCCATAACCGTTAAATTTCTTCAAATTTTCTCCAAAAAACTGTTATTTTCAATTAAAATTTACGCTAAAAAATAGAAACGATTTCTTACATAGAAAAATCATTAGTTAACATCAAAAGAGATAGTTTAACGCCTTCTTTCGTTAGATTTAACAATTATAAATGCTTGAAACGCTATTTCATCTGTTTACGAGCTTATTGGGTACAATAAAAAAACGATTAATTATCAACAAAACATTTCGTAAAACTAAACATGAATGAAAAGCATGTTTTTTCCGCTCTTAGTTCTTGTCTTGTTCATTGATGCGAGGGGAACAGGAACGACAACTGCCGTAGGCATATGGAGACACTGGAGGATAGCGAGTCCACCTATGAAAATGAGTTCATGAACTAATGGCTTCGTTTACCAATGGATTCGGTACGAAAATTGAAGTCAGCTTGACAACAGATGATCGATAGTGATATGGATTCCACAAACCAACCTGTATATGAATAAGACCATTGAGTAAATTCAATGCAAATTAAGTCTGTATTGATCAAGAAACGGAAAAAAATTGCATAGCCTTACTTCCTGCAAAGTCAATAAACCGAGGGTTCATGATGCATGCGACATACGTTAGAAAAAAATTCGGATTCGGTTCAGTACTCGAACCAGGTGATAAAAATGGAATCGCACCGGTTTTGGTACGAAACCATCATCGACATCTTTCATCGTTGGTGGACCACGGGGCCAATGTTTCCCAACAAAAAGCCTGGAAATTGTCCATTTGATTAGGTCTAAAACGAAAAAAAGATACTATTATACACACAATTCAGAATGTGATAAAACAAAATCTAATAAAAAATGAACACAACATAGCTCCATCATACATACAAACCTTGACATTAGTTCGAGATTTTCAAACCGGAGCTACTTGCAGTCTTCTCATCTGGGCATTATGCCAGAGTTAGAAGGGGTGGTGACGAAATGCAGCTGCGAAGAATAACTAGATGTATGATTTAAGAAAATTCTAGTGCCTTTGGAATTTAACTTAAACAATATTCAGGAGCCGTACTTATCATGTATTTGTGTTTGGAGTGTAGGTGTTGGGCTAAAATCTATACCCACACTCAATTTTTGATATTCTCTATAATCCTATTGATAGGACATATAGTTGATTAATTTAAAGAAAAAAAATTCCTACTTACTTGCATTTTTCCATCTTCTTTCAACCATGCTTCATATTCTTTTTTGGAATATTGATTTCTTTGTTTAATATAAAACGCTATTTATGGATGGAGAAACAAAGCGTTTTAACTAAAATAAAAATTTCTTTGTTTGCTTACCCTCGTGTTTACGAATGCTGTTGTGGTCGTCCATGATTTTAACCACGATTGAAATGACGATGCTGTCGATAACATTCGGCTAACATATTTATCATCTGCACGACATAGAATTCGTTTATTCTATTGTTCTCTTATCTACATTCATTGAATCGTCACAATGATTCTAGGGTATTTAAAGGATCGAAAACTACATTGAATTGAAACGAGGGAGAAAGAAAGAAAAAAAACAGAGAGAGAACCGAAAATAAGTTTGTAATAGAGATAAAGTGAGTGTGTGTCGAAGAAGCGAACGTCCTATAGATAATTCTCGAAAGGCATCACCATATTCACATAAATATCCATTAAAAATTAAAGGTCAATAGTGTAAAATAAAGTCAAAAAGGATATCAGTCGGTTATTAGAATAAACGAGGCATGTTATGTGTCAAATAGTATTTTGTTAATGAAGCTTCTTTTATTAGTATTGGTTGTTTTGATCGATTTAAAACGGCAGAAAATAGTTAGATGTCACGAGCTAAATGTTAAATAAAATAAAATAAATTCCTCTCGTCGAAATCTAATTTAATGACAACATCAGTTCATATGACTAATATACTTGACTTAAGCAGAACGGGGTTCAGATGTGATTAATTCTATATACACGTTGCCTTAAATTCTCCATTTTTGTTGACTCAGAAAAGTTGCGAGTAATGGCGTTATTATGGACTACAATTCTTTTAGATTAAAGCAATCAACAGCGAATTCTCAATGAAAGTGTAGAATGTTCATCTCTCAAGTTATTCGATCAGAGTATCTTAAAGTTTTATTTTGACCTTTTATAGATGCATTCTCTATTTGAAGAACAAATATTTCTTTATTTCAAGTAATACAAAGTACATAATTATATTGTCAGTATGACTGAGGAAGTTTCTATTATATAATATTGAAATAAGTATCAAGGTTTGAAAAATATTTGAGCACAGAAATACGGAGATGAGCAGATATTATTGTTCTCTTTCCGAACATTTTCATATTTCGGCATATTCTTACATGTATATTTTACTATTAGTTGTTTTATGTGAAAAATTTTTATAGGCATTCGAACAACTTTTTGAAAAGTTTCTCTTGCATGCCGTTCTCACTATGTTTTTCTTCGCTACGTCCTTATGTCTCCATAACAAAAAGCAAAAGCTTTGAATATTATTTTTAATATTAACGAAACACCTGTTAACATCAGCAAGCAGTACAAAAAGCATTCGTTTAGAGAGAAACAAACCAGGTTGTTTGTGATCGATAAGATCCCACAGTGTTAACATACGTATAGAGAATAGGGATCCGTGAATCAGTCAGAAAAAGCGCTTCGCCACCGCCTTGCCATGCCGACGATTCGCTAACTGCCACCTCGCTTCCCCTCGCCTTGCCAGTATTCAATTTTTTTTCCGATTCGTTCTTTTTAAACACACATTTGAAATCAACTATCCAAATAAAATTACGTATAACAAATCAATTGACAAATATATGCATAATCGCGCATTTTTTTTTTCGTTTGAGGTCAATTCACTTATCGATATTATAAGAAAATTCAATATTTCAGTAAAATTATTTTTTCGACGATTAATCAATTTTGTGTGGCATTAATAATCTGATTTTCACATAATTATATTAATAACAGTCCTGTTTGTGTTACAACATAAGAAAAGTCTTTATTTTTTGCTTTTCTATTTATAGTATAACCAACTATTCACAATAACTATGATCTTCATATATTTGATTGCGTTACCTTCTTATCATAACAAATAAACTTAAATTGATCTGATTGTATTAATGACAATATATACTTTAGAAAAGCCACTTTTAAAAAAATATAGTGAAAACTGGATACAGAAATATTAACCTATACATACGAATATTGTCGACTTATGAATAAACTTTGATTAACGATTAATTTCTAACGAAATACTTTTGACTTTGATCGATATTGAAAAAAAGGATTGAAAATAAACAAGCATATCTTTTAGTTTGAATGCTTTTTGAACAGTAGTTTGAATGTAGAGCGATGAGCAATTTTTAGTGATTTTGATTTCTTGATCGAATACTTAAGAATGAACAAATATTTTCTTCTTACGAATGATTAATTCTGAATAAAACATGATAAAATCTTATTATTAATCAAATATGCAAATTGCTTGGTCTCTTTAAACATTATTATTTCATTATATCTATAAATTCTTTGAAAAAAAAAAAAGTTTTTTCTTTTCTGTGAATTAAGATATTAAATACTAACACATTACTATTCTTATTTATTGTACAATAGTTGCAATGTAGATAAGAAGAATAAATATGTGTCACGAAACTTCTTCTTCATCTTCGCATTCTACATTCGTACGGTAAGATTAAATTATTTTCAAATGAAATTTATTCACTAACTCACATGGAATGTAGATAACTACGTCATTCTTAAAAACATTATCTTTATTGTCAATCATAAGACTTAACTACAAAAATATTTTCCACAAGTCTAATCAAACTATTCTGAAAACATTTGATGACATAGATCACCATAATAGATTTATGAAAAGTTTCATTGGGTAGTAAATGAAACGAAGACATAAGAATTGAAATTTTCTTTTTTTTGTTACAAATTCATCAAACATGTTTGATGATCTGTTTCTATGATTCATAATGCATTTTCATATGTGTCTCTCTTCTATTGGTCAGAAAAATAAAAAAAGAGTCACTCTTAAACGTTTGTTTTTTGCGAAATTACAGACGAATGCAGTTGGAAATGGAAAAAAAGCCAATTGAACTGCTGCAACCAACCAATGAGAAATAAATGCGAAAAAGATACCAGCAGTATGATGAGGTGACTATTCGCTGTACCAATAGAATTCGAAAGAATTCAGTGGGTATTTTAATACTATAAAATGGTACGATTTACAGTAATGTGTTGGATTTCATTGATTGATTTAAATCCACTAAGAAACTCTCTTATACTATACTTCCCAACTGTTATTAAAAACAAATTTTATAACGATTATTTATCAGTAATATGGAACTCGGTAAGGAGTCTCGAATATACTCTCAATTTTATTATCATCTATTTATATAGAACACGGAAATATTCTATGCGTATCATCAAATACAGAAGTTGTCTTTTGTAAACATTCGTTGAATTGTAATTCCTCTGAAAATACAAATGCATCAACAAATCAAAATGAAATTAATGGCTTTGGTCTCACAATTTTCAAGGAAATCTATTATACAACAAAGAAAATCAATATCAATCAACTTTCATCTGTCTGGTGTCTTTTAAATCCTTCTGAAAGATTAAAGACATTCAGAAATGATAAAAACTATGATCAGATTCTATTACAACAAGATCAAAATGTTACTTTGGCTTTTGGTTCCCTTATTTCATCTAGCCAATTTAAATGTGCAGCATCAAAATTTTGTTTTACAAAAGGACCAAATTCAATATGGAATCTATATTTTGCAAAATATAATTCGTTTCTATCCATTAATACAGAATTTATTAAATTTCAATTAAAACGCGATCACATCGACATTCATCGTGGTGTTATCATCAGTGCAAGATCTAGTCATGACTTCATAATGCATGTTTGTCTGCGAGGGAATCTCGAAGAATATACATCCAAAAATCGACAACTTGGTATGTTATCTGTAATAGAAAAAAAAATTATTCCTGTCTTATTTCTCCTGTAAAACAGTCACTTTTTACGAAGAAAAAAAAACACGCATGTTTGTTGTTTTTTTTTTCTCCAGTATGAAAGCATAGGCAACGTACTCATTTATTGCGATTCTTCACTTTTCAGTCTTTTTTTTTCTTTACAGGTTACGAGCGTCAATTTTGTTTGCAAAACACACGAGACGAACAACCATGGCAATCATGTTTTTCAGCTATGCATTTCTCAATTCATAATAAACAAAAAAATACTGATTCGATCTATCAAATTTTATGCTATTTTATTCAATTCTTTAGTTATCATTCCATTCCAATACATTTTGGATCAATTGAATTTTTATATGAAAACTTTATTTATGGAAATAATTTATTGATATCTGCAAATACTTTCATTGGTCAATATGCCTGCCACATGCTCACTAGTGTGGGATGTCAAATATATGATCAAATAGTCAATGATGATATCTTGAATAATAATATGTTTTATTTATTAAATGGAAATAATAATGATGATGATTTTGTTTATTATATATTCGAACGACTGCGACGATTGACATTGTCTTCAGAAAATTATTTTCTTCAACTTCTACATGAATTGCCTACTATTCGAAATAATTATTATGATTCTTATCTTCATAGTACTTTTTATCAGATGGATATGGTTTGGACTAAATATGTTCGTATTCCATGGTTTTGTTTTACACCAACACGTCTTATTATTAAACCATTTAAGTTTATGCGATCAAATCGAGTTTTTCGATATATCTCTAATGTAACTCAATCAATGGCTTTTGTAGAATTTCGTGATGATACAGGATCTGCATCTTTATCAAAAGAACTTGTTCCTTTCTTACAACATTATCTTCAAAATGGATTCTGGTTTGCTGATCGTCATTATATTTATTTACATCATGCTCAATCTCAAATACGTCAGAAACAATTTTATTTTTATTGCGAACATGAAGGTAATATGACTCGCGAAGCACTTGAAGCTTGGATGGGCAATTTTGATAGGGAAAAATTACCAGCGAAAAATACTGCTCGACGAACACAACCATTCTCTAGTACAGAAGCTACTATTGAAGTAAGAGTACATGAATATCTTTTAATAAAAAAAAAAATAATCATCATTTATCCTTTAAAGATTGATAAAAAACTCGTTGGCTTGATTCCTGACTTGAAGACAACAGATGGAAAATATAACTTTACTGATGGTGTTGGACAGATTTCATCAGAACTAAATCTATTGGTGTGTGATATGTCTTTTTATCTTGTAATCAAGATTATTAATTCATCTAACCATATCATTGATTTTTATTTGTAGATCCATGAATCAATTGGTAAAAATGTTAATGATGGCGATTATATTTCCAGTGTTCTTCAAATTCGCTATGGAGGTTGTAAAGGTACTATTGCTGTTAATCCACTGCTTGATGGAAAAGAAAAACAATTATTAATTCGACCAAGTATGAATAAATTTGAATGTGAACATCAAATGCTTGAATTATGCAAACGTTCACTTAGACGTAAGTTAATATATATATTTAATTATCAATTTATGTCTTTGATACACTTTGATAATTTGATATATTCAGGTCATTTATGTTTGAATCGTGAAGTGATTAACTTACTTTCATATCGTGGTATATCTAATGCACATATTCTTGTCGTTCAACTTCGAAATATCTTATGGCTAATGGCTTCTTTTGTTTCGAATCAATCAGCTTTGTATGTTCTTCGTGAAAGAGTTCTCCATGTTTTACCATGGTCGAAAATTTCTTTTTATTCACATTTATCAAAAGAACCATTTTTTCATCATCTTCTTCTTACAACTGTCAAAAATAATCTTTGCCAAATAATAACAAGAGCTCATATACGTGTTTCGAAAGCACGTTATATGTTTGGAACAGTCGATGAATATAAAGTACTCAAAGAAGGACAAGTTTTCGTTCAAATTACCAATGAATATGGAAGTAAAACTGTTTTGGAAGGGCCTATTGCTATTACCAAAAATCCTTGTCATCATCCAGGAGATTTACGTGTTCTAGAAGCTGTCAACAATAGTTATCTTCACCATCTCTATGATGTTCTTGTCTTTCCTCAGCAAGGTTCTAGACCACATGCAAATGAAATATCTGGATCAGATCTTGATGGCGATGAATATAGTGTCATTTGGAATTCTGAACTCGTACCTACTTCACCCAATCCAATTCCATATGATTATGATTCTGGACCAAGTCCAAAGCCTCTCAATCGGGTAGTAACACGTAATGATAGATTAAAAGTTATATCAGATATATGTGAACAAGACAATCTAGGTCGATTAAGTAATATTCATCTCGTACTTGCCGATAAGTTTGGTATCGACCATGAAAAAGCGATTAATTTAGCTGCTGGAATAAGTCAAGAACTAGACAGTGTCAAATCAAGTCAACATCCTTATACATCAGAACAAATTAAACAAATAATTTTAACAGCTGATAAAACTCGTCCAGATTTTATGCAAGCATCTGGTTATAAAGAGTATCAATCGGAAAAAATACTTGGTAAGTCATTTACATTACAATTCTCTAACACATAAATCAAAACAGATTTACAATTCATCTTTTTTTTGTCTGATAGGAAAACTATTTCGAAGCGCTCGTCGTTTATCTGATACTTTTAAAAATTTATTTCTTAATAATAACAACGAAATTTTTCTTGATAAAAATCTTCTTCACAATGGTTATGAAGAATATATTGATTCTGCTCAAAATCTTTATAAACAATATCAATATGAAATGTTGGAAATTATTGGATCATATGGATTTTCAAATGAAATTGATCTTTTTTGTTGTATTGATTCACATAACATGAAAGCCAATGAACGAAGTGATATTCAACAAACAGCACAAGAATTATTAAGAGCTGTTTTTCAAAATATTCAAAAGAACTTTCATGATGATCTTGTTTCACTTCATCAAGCTAAAGCTAAAGCAGCTGCTTGTTATTATGTGGCATATACAGATACAAATGACAAAGATAAATCTATGTTAAGTTTTCCATGGTTATTTGCTTCTCAACTTCTTGCCGATTATTCTGTTATTTCGGAAGATGAACAACAAACAAATGATTTTATGGAAAATACATTCATTTCTGATTCAATCTTGAATGATTACCTCAAACAACAATTGTCATCATTAATAAATCTACTTCCAAATGATAACCAATTCACATTTATGGAACTTTTAGAGATATGCTTTCAAAATGCATGTGCCACGAACAATGAAAAAATGATTAACCATGCTGAAATGCTTATTGAACTATTAATTAAAACTGCAAAAACTATACATTCGAACTAATACCTACCTATATAATCTTCTTTGACAAAGTTATTTATTCATTATGTAAAAATGTTCACATAATCTATATTTCAGTTGTTCATGTCTCATTGTAATTAAAACCACAAAATATCTTTTGTCATAATATATTATTGTTATTATGATTAATTTCATTCAAATCAATTTTAATTATTCAATTTTAGTCATTCTTCATATTCAATACGACTGATATCAATATGAAATTTGTACCAAATGACACATTGAATGATACATAATACAACGTATTAATTGTGTAAATGTTACCATGTATGTATTTGATCAAATACAATAAAAAATATGACTCGCATTTATATGCGGTTGAAACGTCAATACTCTATGACTTATTTCATACTGATTTGAAATCTATTTTGGTGAATAATTCAAATATTATTATTATTATTATCTTAGTTTTAGGCACTCAGAATTTGTTACTCTAACCTAAATCTTTATTATGCAAATACGTAAGTCTAATTCTTTTTTAATGGATATATGTTAATAGTTTCGATCTGAATGAACATACTACTATGAATACAATATACAAAATAATGAGCAACTGTGAACAAAAACATCAATAATCTTTCTATTATCTATGTCTGTCCAAATAGATTCTCTTGTCAGCTAATGACAAATTATTAAATTTTAATTATCATGAGTTTTCTTGAACTTCGATAATGAAGAAAATAAGTCGTGCTATTGATCTTCAAATATTTCAATTTCCAATGACAAGAAACATCGAAGTTTTTTAACAAAATTCATAGTTAGTATATTGAACGTATTCAATGTTAAAGATTTTATTTTTCTTTTAGAAATCTTTCATAGATTGAACAGAATCTTCATCAATACAAGTTAGACAATGTTTTACTTCAACAATTGATCTATATGACATTGCGAATATTGAATGTTGCTTTACTTTAGTACATAAAATTAGAAATAATTGTCATTTAATATTTTGTTCAGTAAAATAATAATGCTAAAATTTTCATTTTCTTTTCAAAAATTCGAAAGAATATTATGAACAACAAAAAAGATATTTATTAGAAAGAGAATTTAATTCAGTTTTGTATTAAAAGACTTCATTGATGATAAAATCTTGTTTATTTTATGTCCAAAGAAATCTATGATAAAGAAAAAGATTGAAAAACTAATTGTAACAAGAATACAAATAATTTTGAACATACAATAAATTATAATCTTCTTTTCTAAGACTTGAATCAGTACTACAGTAAGATTCACATCATGTTGATGTTTTTTTGAAAAAAACAAATACAGTAAAAACCTATCAATGTGAGTATCTCTTCATTCTCAGCAGTGAGCACATATTTATAGTCTTATGAGTAATAACAATCTTCATAATGTGAGTAACGTATGTTCTGTCACTCGTATGCAGAACGAGAAAAAAATGATGTTATGTGCAGTGCGTTATGATAAACAATCATGTGACATACAGGGCGTACAAAAATTAGGTGTGCGTATGAGAAAAGAGAAGACCCATAATTTTTTCAACGCATATTTCATAGTAATTTTAAAAAAGATTAGATTAATGTTGTAAAAAAGTTGTTACTTCAGAAAAATAGATGATTATTTGAATTAATAGATTAATGAAAAGAAGAAAAAGAGCACTTGATGCAGTCGAAAAGTGATTGTAAATAAATACTTATCATTTGAAAAAAAAAACAATTGTAAACCTCTCAATGATATTCATCTTTGTAGACTGATCATTTTTGGCCAGTCCTAATGGTGCTCATATTAGAGAGATTTTACTGTAAATGTTTCTTTGTCATATTTGAATATGATTATGAAATAATTTAAAATGTATAATTTGTTGCTTTATCGAATATATTAGGATTGATAATTCCCTATAACCTAGGATGTACAATTATCAGTACAAATGTTGAGGCCTGTTGTATTTGAATGGAAAATTCTAGAAGCCTAACTTTTTCATTCATAGATAGAGCAAAGTATGCACTTTAAATTGCACATTTAGAATAGAATTGGAGGTATGCTTCAAGAAATTAAATTTTATTTTTTTAAAAACTATTAAAATGGGTTGTTACCAAGATAAAATTGGGAGTTCTGTCAAATCTGGACTATATGTTTCTTTTAATGCTTTTAAATGGCATATAAATGTTGAGTAGCTATATTAGTTTTAATTGAACAAAAGTTCAAGTCAAACGTCTGTAATCCATTTGAGTTATTAAAACCTCTAATTACATCGAAATTGAAGCCAAGTGCTATTTTGTACCCATTCTTTATTTCGTTGTTTATGAGCTCAATAGAATGTATTTTTCTAATGTCTCATATATATTCTTCTATGATACAAAAAGTTACATATTTTTGAATCAATTTAAAAATTTGTGTTCTGACAAATGTTTAACCCTTTACCCCTCCCCCATTGGTAATTGGAATTGTCATTTTATAGAATGATTGCAGAAAATAAAGGAAGCATGGAATTTGAAAACGATAAGAACATTTTTTGTAGTGAACGTTATGAGCTATCGATTGGTAAAAAGAATAATTTTTTTTATTGCTCCATCTTTGAAATATTGGGCCAACAAAATCGATAATTTTGTAAAAAATGAAAAAAACCGAATTTTTCAAAATAAATCGTTCTCTACTAACAGTAAATGAAGATCTTTTGGAATTTCTATGTGATACAAATTTATGAAAGTGTCTACTAAGAAGTTAAATATGTTTCGAATGCATCGTGATAAGCTGACCAGTTGGACATACTAACGCACATAACTGATCAAGGAACCGTTATGAGGCATCTTTAGGGTAATTAAGAGAAATGGTAATATATCTATTATAAACCTCAGCTCATGAGAAGTTAGAATAGTATTTATTTTGAATTAAATGTCTTCAGAAGTTATAAAACGGCTCAAAGCAAGGTAGATGCCTATTTAAGAAAATGTGCTAAAAATACATGCATTCTTTCGACATTAATTTTTATTGGTTTATTCCCTCCACTTTCCATTATTCCAATAACATGAGATAGATGTTACTTTTGCTCATTCAATAATGTAGTCAAAGAAAAACAAATCAACGCTTAATATGTTGTTCCATCCTCTCAGTCCATCACAGGATTAATCGACAGATTAAATGATCCTACACAAAGAGGGAGACATTCAATGAATCAGACTACACAATTGTCACACTAGACACGCTAGTACTCTGTTTACATAGTTATTCTATCGGCGGCTCTTCTGGAACCACCGTGGGGCGTAAAGGGTTAAAACATTCATCAAAAATCGTGAAATGTACTGATTTGACTTTTAAAACTGATTGCTGACTGCTTTGAATACGCAAAAAAATAGGAAGCCGATTTTCAGAAAGCCTAGATCTCACAACCTTCTTTTTCCAAGTTTGAAATCTCTTTCTTCGCTTGTAGTCAACATAATGCATCTTAAACCAAGAAAAAGCATGAAAATATTTATTTTGGTAACAAATCATTTTCAACGGTATGATGAAAAAGTTAGACTTCTAGCACTTTTCGTTCGATCACTGCATGTCTCCACATTTGTGCGGACACTTAGATCTCGTAGGTTAATCAAAAACTTTTGCTTAAAATTTGATTTATTACCAATATTCTGAGATTTATATTTATTATTATCTGAAACGATTTTATTGTTTGCAAAAGTTGATTCATGAATTGTTATCATTATTGTTATCTATTTCAATGGAGAAAAGATTAAAGAAATATAATCTTGTTTTGATAGTTATTATTATCTTCTTGTGTCACATAAAAAAAGTAATGCGTCATATGTTGTTTTTTATCTGTAATAACGAAGAAAATAATATTAAAAATAGAAAATAAACGCTGCGTAGCAGAGATACTGAAAGAGAAAACAATTAAAAAACGAAACGCGATACTTAAGACTATGTCAAACATTAAAACAAATCTGTACGATCCAAACAAACAAAGTAATAATAACTATGGAACTGTCTACGGTAATTAATATTCACCTATGAATCAACCACCATACGAAGCTGGAAATATTTATCCGTACGTAATATCTTTTAGTCAGAATTTTGGTTTGTTGTTCGTTGAAAGATAATTATTCATTTTGTTGTTGTTTTTTGAAAGGTCAAATAATGCATCACCACCTTATACACAATATCCTCAACATTCATCTGCTTATCCAACATCGGGTGCACCACATAATGGCGTACAATCAATCAATCAACCCCAAGGAGTTACTGTCGTACCTCTTTATCGACCATCCAGGAATAATTTAACATCAACACCGATTACGTCTAGTCTACGAGTATTTCTTGTCATTTCGGGTATTCTTTATTTGTGTTGGTATCCAAATTGATCTTATTGTTAATTCGAATTGGACATATTATGTCGGTTTCGTGGCAAGTTTTTCTCTAATTGGTGGAGGAATTATTATGTTAATTGTAGCATGTAAAACATCGAATGCGATGACTTTTCTAATTCGACTATTTATTTTTTGTTCGTCCTTTTGTGTATCAGGACTCATCGTATCTATCTTTAAAGTAGTTAACTTAAATCGATGTAGTTCAATACACTATTCATATTATTGCGACAGTACAATAGTATACAATCTAAAAATAACTATCTTGGTCCTTTTTAGTACTGCACTTATTCATAGTATTATCAACCTGATTGTAGCTATCACTCTACCCGCACCCACAACATCAGCATCTACTTCAAATATTCCAACTCAATAATAATTCATGATAAATCAAAGTTAATATGAATATTTGATTGAAATCGAAAATCGGTTTTTCTTCAATGTCTGGCATGTGACCACTTTTGACTAATAAATAAAACTGTTGATTGACCTGTTTTTCTTCTTATTTCTAATTAAATATGTGAATATACTTATATTTTCTAATAACAATGTTATCGAAAAATTTTTTTAATGCAATACTTTTTTGTTTTAGAAAGAGTAGAAATAAATATTTTTCTTCAAAAAAATTAGTATGGACAATATTTTGATTTCATCATCGTAGCAATGTGTTAGTTCCGAATTAGAAAAAATCATGAGAAACAGTTAGTAGGAAAGAACAGTTTATTGCAAACATATCGTGAAATCACTTCAGTTCTTTTTTTGAAACATATTTTGAAGAAATTCTTTAGATTTTCTATACAAAAATCTAAACCTTTTCCGTAGTTCTTGGACATAATTAACGTAGTGCGCATTTGCATAGGTCACACATTAAAAGATCTTTCTAAACTTGGAATATATTTAATAAAATCATGTTGTATATTATTAATTAAAATATCTCTTCGCCTTTACACTTTCTTCGAAAAATATCCTATGATGCACTTCTTCTAATGAGGGAATGTCCCCAGATGTTTCTCTGAGATTTCAAAGAAAAACTATTTGAGTTTATCAAGTCAAGTATTCCGACCTTAAATCTGGAAAAACTAGCGGTTGAAATTACTTTCATAAAAAAAAAAGTTGCAGTTAAAACATTTTTTGACTAGACCCTGAAGGAGACCTCGAGTCAATTGTTTTGGCGAATAAAAATAGTTTGCAAAAAAATTGAAACACTCATAATTTGAGTCAGAATTTGGTATTGATTCCAAAGATATCATCAGTTTTGGCTCAAATTGTATTTTTCTGACTATAGTTTCAAAGTTTGAAAAATATACCGTTCTGTTGCATTTCAAAAGTGCTATCGATTGGTATATGAAGATTGACATGAACCAAAAGATGTAGATCTTTATCGATCGACAACACAATTAGCAGAATAGATTTTTAGCTAATCTACTACTGATCGCTAATAAAAGAACAAATAGAAGATACCGAAATGGTTTTTTTTCCAATAGACATGTCCTTAAATGAATCTATGTAGAATTCAATGCTCTATCCGATGAGACCATCTCGAAATGAAAGTGATACTACTGTGCAAAGATATCAGCGAAAAATCTCACTATTTAGATAGTGCTAAGCTAACGGTAATATTTCGGGTCATTATTATTCTAGGTGTTATTGAGTCAATTTGAAAGTATTACCAAATGACTTAGCGTAATATTCTGCATCGAAATATACATGAGTTTTAACAATGCAAGAGTGGACCGATTTGATCCCTTATATGTTCCCATCCTTTATAATATCAAAATCTAAATTATTATCGAACGACTAATAATATGATTTTTTTTTACTTATTCTAGAAAGATTTTATTCTATAAAATCAATTGAATTAAAATATCAGTAAAACTTTAATGGATCTATTGAAATTCATTAATCAATAAAAAAAAACAATTTTATTTCTTTTTCGTAACAGTAAATGAAGCTTTTCCAACATCATATGTTTGTGAATGTGGATGATGTGAACCGCATTCTCCATTACACAATTGTACAGTGACATTATAGGTACCAACTGGAAACGCATCACAAAGTCCTATTAAAAAAGTAAAAAAAAAAAAAGAATTTATTATCAGACAAATTAGAATTAAATTTACCTTTTGTCGAATCACAATTCAAAGCAGTTAAAGTTCTAAGACCAATTTTTTCAGTATACATACCAGGTTTTTTAGATTCAATCAAATAATCATTACTCTCTGTTTCATTATGAGGATCAGTAATTTCCAAACGTAGCATACTTGTACCAGTTCCATTCATAGATTTGAATGAACAATCAATCATAAATGTTGTACCTTGTGGACCTGTATTTGGTAAAACACCAAATTTTATAAATTTAGCATCACCATGGTCGTTAACTATAAAGAAAAATATTTTGATAGATAAAAATTTTTTTTTTTGTTTAATCTTACTTGGACACAAACGAGCCATTTCACAATACCAAATCGGATCAATATCAACTGCAATAATTAAATGAATAAATTCATCAATACCAACAGCATCACATGCTAGATCACATACAGTGCCAATAAATGGTACACCTGTTTTATTAGCAACAATACTACATAATTTTTCACAACTTTCTATAATGCCTTCATCAAGAATTACATTGAGTATAACATTAATTGCTTCTACAGCTTCATTTATACATGTTGGACAAAGATCAATACCAACATTGTTGCCTCGAATATCAGATGGAAAATGTTGTAAATTTTTCGAGGGAGTATTGAATGAACAAGCAACATTCGAAATACCAACAACAACAAGAAGAATAACACTAAGAGTCTTATACATTGTGTGTTTGTGTGTGTTTTTTATAATTATTAACTTTAGAGACTACTAATATTCGAGAAATACTGCTAATAAATATTCTTGTAGTGAGAAGAAAAAAAATCTGTTGAGATTAGTTAGGCATAAATATAGAACTAATCTAACACAAATGGTCAAATTTTCACACAATACTTTTATTTTTAGTTTGAGACTCTTATACAACCTGTTTGTCCTAAGTTACTTCACAATTAAGATCGAGATTAATAAACATATCTAACTAGATATAATGAATAAAACTTCACAAGAAAAAAACAGATCGATTTTCTTTGAAAGTTTAGAGAATTTTTTCTAAAAATATATATTGAAATAGATAAAAATCAGTAAGTGCAAAGTAGATACTGGCATCTTTACAGATATATTTATAGTAGCATCAGTAAGTCAGATATAGACTATAATGAGAACAAAAACAAAATTACGTATGAGCCATCCATAGAAAGCGTCGCAGTAAAAATTGCTTTTTTTTGACTTCCCGACGTCAGGAAATCTTCGATTTTGACCGACTTCGCCTCACTGAACGTCTAGTCTGCAAAACATTTTTAGAAAGAGCCTATTTGCTCATATATACTTTTCTTTATTTTCTGATACACCTTTTATTAACTTGAAAATATTATAATAAGTATTCAGATACGACTGATTCCTGTTTGGAAATGTACATCCAGCTTTTACTAACACTCCCTTTTCTAGACGTTCTCTATGGATGACATCTTATTGCTATCATTTGAATTTATATATTAATACATCATGTATATAAATATAATAAAAAATTCTCTAGATGTTCTATTTATTATTCACCAGAGAACAAATCTTATAGTACTTATTATCTCAATACATAAAACTAAAATATGTTTGGTCGTAATCAAATAAGATATATTCATACAACGAACGAGGAAGCGTAGAAGAGACAACTCTACACAATTTATTGTTTGTTTTTAACAAAAAGCAAACATGAACAAACTATTTATTATTATTATTCAGTAATTTGAAATGAACCAACAGCTGAATCATAAAGTTGAGTATGAGGATGATGTGAATCACACTGTCCATTACAAATAAAAGTCATAAAATTATACATACCAGGAAACCAATTTTCACTGTGTTCTATAATTTAAAGAAAAACGCTTTTTTTTTATTAAACTAATAAATAAATTTTTACCTCAGGCAGGATTACAATCTGGATCAGGACTAGCATTCACAAGAAAACGTTCACCATAAGTACCTGGTTTTTATTCTTCAAGTAAGAAACTAGCTGACAATGGAACGTCATCAACTGTTTTAATTGTAGTAATTAGTTCATCAGTACCAGTTCCATTATTAGATACATAAACAAAATCAATAGTAAATGTATTATAAAAAGGAGCATGTGGTGGTACGATAACAATAATAAATTGGATTAAGATCAGCTTTTTCAATTAATTTAACAAATTCTTCTATCCCCAAAACATCACAACGAATTATACAAAGAAATCTCAGTAAAACATGATTCTAACTTTTCTGTAACAATATCACATAAATCACCACACGTATTCATAACATTACATTGAAGAATAATATCAAAAACAACTTCAATTAAATCACTAAATAAATTAACACATTTTGGACACTAATCAATACCATTGTTTTCTTGTTTCAATGATAATAGAGCACGTTTTATATGACTTGATTGAACATTAAATGTACGTGTACCAGCTGATACATAACAAACAGTAAGAAGAACAATCAGAGCAAGAGCCTTCTACATATTTTTTTTCCTTCGATAGATAATCAACCGAAAATGTGGTTTTTTGTACACTAGTAATAAATGTAATGTTAGTGGGAAACAAACAATCTGTTGCAAATGTTATCGATTACATGAAAAAGGACATTCAGTTTATTTGTCAAGGTGACTAACCAAGAAGTACCGAAAGACGAACTAACGGCTGCATTATTTTTAATTTCATGCAATCGGAATCAAGTGACACTTGCACATTTATGGCAACAGCCATCTGAGATTTTCTGTTAGATCAAAACTTTAGAATACATAACCTTACAATTTTTGTGTCTAAAGCCTCACAAGCAGCTGCAAGGTAAAGCTGCACATCTCAAAAAATCAAAGTAGCTTCAGAGCACCTATGTTTTCAATTCTAAAACATGAAATAAAACTTTCATTC